TTTTTTATAATTATAATATACATTGAATACAGATTCTGTAGTAGAAAGAGCAACCCTTAGTTCCTCACCCTCGCTCTTCTACGTATGTTTCAATCATGAGTGCTCATTCTCAATGAATTTTCAGAACCACGTAATAGTCAACCTTCATACTTTGACTGGATAGTCGACAGTCGTCGAGAAGTATTTGCTGTGAGTTTGAGGCGGAACTGATGTTTCTAGAATGAGTTATGAATTTTTGTTGGAAAGGGTCTCATATCTCAGTACCTCAGTTTCAGGATCCTTGCCGGTGAAATAGCTGTATTTCACTGACCACTAATAGCCGACTCATAAAAGATTATATTGTAAATAGAGTAGAGCCATGGCTACGTTTTAGTAAAAAGAAAAAGTTTTTATCTCTCTTAGGTCAGGAGCTATTGATATTTTACGAAAAAGAGACGAATCGCTTATATCTCACGAAGCATCTAGTAAAAGATGCCCAGACTTGGTGGGTGATCAGCATTCGGCAAGAGCTATGATCACACAAACTTAGAAGCTCCTAGCTATCATGGTTATTGAGTTACAAGGGGCCTGCTACTTTTGCGGAGTACTGTATATCACCGAAATCCAGCGCTTTTAATATCTCCTATGTTTCCATACTAATCTACATTTTACGGACGGCTCCGAAGAATTTATGCGCTTTCTCCGAACCGAATCGAAAAAAAGTGGCTCATGACGATATCTGATAGGAGTACACGTTATGTAGGTATATGAAGTCTAGGTCATTTTAAATTTATTTTTAAATAAATCAAGTATTTTTAAAATATATTCATATTGAAATTTTATTTTAGAAGTTCTTTGGTAACTTTATCAAACAAGTCTTGTGCATTTTTCAAATCACAATGATTTATTGATAATTTTCGTTTATAAATATCTAATGTTTTTGTAGAATATTGTAAAGCTATCTGATAGTTTTGTTGTTCATAATAGAATAAACTGAGACGATAAAATGTTTGTGCTATTTGTGGATGATCACATGGTAATATTGATTCACGTATTTTTAATGCTTGATTATAATACTCTAAAGCATTTTCTTTATCCCCTCTAATATGATGAATGCAACCAATATTTTGAACGGTAATTGCTTTATCCGGATGATCCCATGGAACTGGTTTTGAATAATGCTTATAATTAATGCTTCTTTAAAATATTCTAGTGCTTGATCATATTGTTTTTGTTGGTGATAAACATAACCAATACGATTAAGACTTCGAGCTATCTCGATATGATCATGTGATAATATTGTTTTATAAATTTCTAATGCTAAATTATAGTATTTTAATTCATTATCCGTATCATGTAATTCTGAATAAACACTACCAATACCGGCTAATGTACGAGCATAATGAAAACATGATATTTCTTGCTGTTGCTTTTGTAAAATTTCTGCCTGTTGAAAATAATATAATGCTTGTTCATAATCAGCTTGAAAACGATACGCACGCCCTAAATTATAATATACTTTAGCTCGATTATGATCATTTAGCTGTATGTTTAATAATCGTTTAAAATAGTCTAATGATTTTCTATATTCGCCCACATCCGCTAATAACATACCAAAAAGAAAAATAACATCTGTTTCTTCCATTTGTTTATATATATGAAGTCATCCAACTAAAATATTCTGAAGAAATAAGGTCTTTTTGACTCCTCTCATGACTTGATCCGTAGTGTATATTAAGAACCTCAAGTCTTATTTCTGATGCCCACTCATTGCTGACTTTAAAACTATTTGAAATATGTATTAATGTACTTCAACTCACGATTATTACTCTGCTGGCATTGGTTGAAACATATGTGAACGATTCAGTGCTCATCCACTCATAGATTTCTAAAACGTATACTGCGTAGGTATGCCCCAGTACCAGTTAACTGGGAACCAAACCGTTTGGGTATCCAGTAACAACCGTTCAGTCAACCGGTATAAGTACTAGTACTTATGCATACCTAATACTGCAGCATGCGAGGCATCAGAAAGAACGATGTGCAACAAGTCAGTTTCATTTACACACTCGGCATATCTTTCGATCGATCAGGTGGAGTTGTCCTTACAGTTTGTTACCCTCACTTGAAACTGGACCTCCAAGACAGATAACCCTTATATGGAATATATTCACTCTGATGTTGTGCTGTGTCATTTGAAACAACTATTTGAACATTCCGTAGGTTTTCTTCAGTATCATGTTCAATATCAATAACTCTAAATGTGGCGCCAAGATCAAATAAAACTTCATCTTCACTTGGTATTTTACTCCATTGTGCTATATAAGCATAAATTAAATTTTTTTGTAATCTTGTATCAATTGTAATTTCAAATAAAATATTGGATGAAAATTTTTCTCCTACTTCACGTGATAAACTTGTTGATAAAAATCCATTTGTAGATACATATTTTCCAATAGATTGTTTTAATTCATTTATATCATTATTAGATAATGTTAGACCACGATAAACCACCAATGATGATTCAAACTGATCTTGATAAAAATCAATATATTTATTATTAATTGATTTTAAAGTTAAACATAAATCAATAATAAAATAACGTAATTTATAGAGAGCATCAATATCTTCTGTTCTTAATGCTTGATTAACAAATTTAAATGGAAATGAATTTTTTGTATACCATTGAATGACTTCATACGATGGTTCTTCTAATTCTTCTGTTAATGCTTCTTTCAATTCTCTGTTTGATGAATATCTACAAATATCGACTGATGATTGAAATGTATTTTCAAATTCATTTATTTGTTTTAGCATTATATTATCATCACGATAGTATGTACGACAATAATCTAACATTTCTTGTTTTGATTCATGTATATCAGTATTTAATAATGTATCACGAAGTAATTGATACCATAAATATGGTATGGATTCTGTTTCTAAATTACGTACAGATTTATTTTGCATATTAAATAAACTAAAAATGGATAAATGTTTTAATAATAAATAGATTTGTTGTTTTAGTATTTCTAATAATTGTTCATATTCGGTATAAATACCAATTAATTTTGAATATTGTAGAATCAAATCTTCATACAATTGTTTATTTATACAAAAAATATAAAATGAATCAATTTTAGTATTATTATGTAATAATTGTAATGTATCACGTGAGTATTGTCCAGATACAATTAAAATTATTTTATAATTTTGTATTTGATCAATTGAATGGATTAATTCATCTTTAGTGTAAGATACTATTATATGATCATGTAATTCTGTTAAATGTTGTTTCATTTCTTGATCTATATTATCATCAAACCATATAATTATTATATCTTCATTTTTATTTAATATCATTACATTATTGATTAATTCTATATCAGACAATTCTAGTAAACGTTCATATTGTTGTGATGATTGTTGTTGTTGTTGTTGATACCACTTTTGTAAAATACCAAAATATACTTTTATTAATTCTGATATACGATCTGGTCGTATGGGATTGATAATATGTAATAGACGATTAACAACGATTAAACCAACATACGATGAAAAACATACGTTTATAAGTATGTTCAAAGATGACATTCTTTCAATGATCAAAAATATTGAATTTACGCAGTAAGCAGTACTGGATAAAATTATGGGAACGGCACGAATCACCTAGTTATCTCGCTGTTTTTTTCTTCCTCAAACCAGTTTATTTGGAGCGTCGGGAGTAACGACTTCGCTAAAACTTGAACGAAAAAGCACAAGAAGAGTAGAAGCAATTACGCGTTTAATGTACTCTGATAATTAATCAAAGGTAAGACTTCAAACTTTGCCGTTTGGATGTTAATATATTGACACAGTAATGCACTTTGTCCCGAAAATGACATGTAAAGGGGTTAGTACATCCCATGTAGCTCCACTGCGTCTGAAGCAACGCCTTTATATTAAGAAAGACGCATCCAAACGCGTTATTTTTCAAAAAAAATTGGCAAACGCGTTTACACTAGACGCGAAACTTTGTTTTTTTCATGATTCTGAATTAGTCCATGTCTTTTTTTTTGTTCTTTCCTACTCTATTTATAATAAAAAGGTTCGAATATTCTTTTTCTTTTATTTCGGTTTTTTCTTCTTGGTTCATTTTCTTTTGTCTATATCAAAAATAATCGAGAATAAAGATTTCTTTTAATGCGTCCTTTTTAATAAAAAATGCGTGCAAGCTGGAATCCATATATCATTGGACATTCGAAATTGTTTGTAGTGATGCTTGTTTTTTTTCACATCCACAAACTGAGCAGGATTTCACATTTCTTTTCCACAGAAAACAGATTTACTTTAGCAAAATCTCATTAGCCTCTTGGATGCCGTAAGGCATCTGTACAGAAACAGGTTACCAAAAGTTCATGCTATACCTGTACATTGCCTCAGTTAACTTTTGTTGTACATTGCCTCAGTTAGCTAACAAAGGGACAGGACAGATAACCAAGCAAAGTTTTTTAACGAAACGAATTTTTTTTCTATTGGATTATGTTATCGAGTACACCTAAATAGTCTAGAATGTGCAACAATGTTTGATCTTTAAGAATATAAACCTTAACAAATTTTACGTTTGGTTCAAGTACGCAATGCGAAAGCAATGCACTATATTCAAAAATGAGAAAAGCTTGTTCTGGTATGAGGGTATTTCCTAAGTTTTGTCATAGAATGTCTCTGTTTGAGTTTTTTGCTGAAGAGCACAAGAAAAGTTCCTTTAATATATTTATAGATAAGTATAGTTTTGTCAGATTTACTGTAAACCTGCTAGTAATATGTCTGTTGTTTATAGTGTTATGTCTAATTTAACGACATCTTCGACTAATGATGCGAGAAGGTTTACGAACAAGTTGTCTGAAAAACAAGAAAAACTGGTTGTCCCTCATATTTATTTCAAAGATAGTAGAAGCAACAGTTTAAGGGCCCCAATCCCTCAGAAATGGTGATATTCGGTCAACAAATCGGTTTTGAGATACGCACATGGAAAGATACCCTGAAGTGTCTACTTCCAGAGTCTGTATTGCTTTTGGTTACAAAACCGGTTTTTCGGGGATTTTGAGCAAGTTTTCTAAGAGCCTCGGAAACTCGGGTCTTCAAATAATAGTTTTTTCCTGGATACTCATGCAATTAAAATTTTTCTGAACATACAGCTTTGTAGAGCAAATGTTTCTGATCAAAATAAGACCTCGCACAACTCTGTATGACCTTGCATCAAAAATTTATAGGCATTTTCCTAGAAGTCCTAAAATCGAGTATTTCATACAGCGTTTTTACTATATAAGAGTTACACCTGTAATGCGTCCCAAGATTTTTAATAGCGGTTTGTCGTAGAGTTTATCCTTTTTTTGTTTCAAAGAGGAAAAGAAACTACATCGACTGACCGGCGTTGATTTTTGAATTAGGTCTTAGTTTTTTGTCCGGTTTTAGTTTTGCTTTCCGGATTTTTTAAAAATCCGGAAAGCTTTTCCCGGTTTTGGAGATTGTTGGTTGCCTGGAAAGCCAATAAAGGCTTAATTGAAAAATCGGCGCCGGTCAGTCGATGTAGTTAGATGTCTAGTTTAAAAAAAAAAAAACCCGAACTCTCCAGCTTGAAGTATATTAAAAAATCTTGGGACGCATTTCAGGGTCCTTTTTGGACCTTGATCTCTGGAAAACTCCTAAACCGTAAGACTTGGAGACAAAAAATTTATTTTATTTCCGTAATTCATTGTGCCGAACATTTATGAAAAGTTTCGTCAAGATCGGATATACGGTGTCAGAGATAATTTCTGAGGGGGGGCCCTAAAGAGTGAAAATGGAATTAATAGTACCCAAAATCAAATGTCTGATAATTATCGTTTGGGCTTTATTCAACTAAATGACGATATAAAATTTGAGATAGATTTTTCTGGTAAAGAGATTAAATCTTTTAAAAATGAAAGATCTGTTATTCCTTTTATTAAAAACGAATTTGATCAATTAAATACTTTGTATACAACATTTGCCTAATGTGAAGAAGAAAATGATATTTTATCTTTGAACATTAAACCACAATACAGTGCACCTGTCCATAGTTATTTGTCAAGATTAAATTTAATATTTAAAGTGCAAATGAAAACGTTTTATTGGAAATTTTTAAAGATTATTATTTAAGTCACGATCAACATATATATAAATACTTTACTTGGATTATCTCATTATTACTAGTAGAATCAGACATTAAGAATGATAGTCCAATAAGTTAAATGGAAATGTCATTATTCCGTATTATCCGATTGAAAAGATAGAACCATTTTTCTCTAATGTAATATCATTCTCTATGTAATTGAATATTCAATTAAACTTAGACAAAGTGGAAAGACCAGCCTATTTTTCATATGAACTAGATGAAAATTTAAAATCTCTCATTTCTGAAACAACAGGTGGAAGTTTATATATTGCTCTTCTTTATTTTAGAGTAGCCACTCTAGATAAAGACTTATTTACTGAAATGAATGGCTATGAAACTTGTGTTGAGGTTCTTAAACCATGTTGGCATAATTGTCAACAATATGAATTTATTCTTATTTTAACATTTTTTGATAATGAATATCCAGATTTAGATAGAACTTGGTCACATTATGCTGGATCTAACGAGAAAATGTTTAGTATTATAACACGTGGATCGAACACTCATCATCACAATACTCATATCGTGTTGCTTCGATTAATTTATCTTTTATTAAGTGGTTATCAGGCAGATGTTTTAGTAAAAGCTGATGTAAACAAGACAAGCCTTCCTCATTATTTCGTTACTTAAGAATCATTACTTATCATTTTAATTTTTACTTGATTTTTAAGGATCATATTAACAAACGATGCGGATTATCCTTAGAGCAAGAAAGTAAATTATTATCTTCTTGTGCTAAAAATTGTTCTAATTCTCCTAACATTAGTTTGTACAACTGCACAAAGAAAAAACGGAGATTATTTTCATGTCGTCAACACATCGTTTCATGAAAACATCCGGAAAAACGACTAGCTGTTTAACACTATTAATTATGTAGCGACAGCGATAGTTTGCGTTGAAGTGCGTACTTATGAGAAGTCATTGTCTGTAAGAGAAAATATAGTTAGTGACTGTTTTACCGAATAGACTTTGAGTTTAAGTCTCAACACAACAAAAAAATTCTCTCGCTCTCGGTTTGGAAACTGAAACAGTTTTCTCGATGTGGTTGAAAACTCGACAAAACATCATGTATATGCTACGGAAAGCGTTCGTTTTCTGCGACAAGTACTTCAGGAAGCAATCCACATTCGGTCTAACCTACACTTTTTATCTGATCCGATTCATTCGAGGGGTGGTCCTCTCCATACGCTTTATATAAGTGAAAATATTTCGACATTGGTATTAGAAAACATAGTCTCTCAAGGTAGTTCAAAAAAGTTTTGTGAATCCGATAATTAAAACTCGTTTGATTTGCTGTGAAAAGTTCCGGTTTCATAATTGAGCCTCAAATATGAAACAAAAAACGTGTTTATTGTGAAACTTACTGAAGATATCTCGATCAAAAATAAGCTATCGCTAAGCTCATTCCATTCACTGCTCCCTCCAAACGAATCTTTTGTGGAAAGATCCAAATAAAGTGAAACTTATTTGGTTCTATAGTATTTGACACGAAACTGATTCGAAATCATTTTCGTCCTTGTGATATGCATAACCTACTGAAAGTCGAACAAGACTGAATATTGCAATGATATTTCTTTGAATTCAAAACAAATACCATCGGGTTTCTTTTTCAACACATGCATTGAGCGAACATCGTCAGTGTTTGTTAAAATGAAGACAAAACTAAACTGAAAAACTGAAGAAGCTAACAGTTTTGTTAATTACTTTTCATTTGCAACAGAAAAGAAATGTAAGTGATGCATAATGTGACTTTTTAATAAGCTAGGAATTATAACAGTTTTTAATACTTTTACGTTTAAACATTAAACTTGAGCTGTCGCCGATGACATTATTATTTTATTTACTGTCAAAGACTATCCAAGTGGAAAACTTTTTAAACACACTTTAGGCAATAATGATAGGAGAAAATGACATTCTCTTTATTTCAAGATAAGATTTGGAAGATCTTCGAACAAAGAATGATTTTAGTTAGTGACAATTTCAGTTGTTTTAATCTTAGATTTCCGTAATTGTTCGGTTTAATGGTATCTATCTCCTATATCGTGCTAAGGCGAACAAGAGATCAACTAAGTTGCGATGTGGACCAAATTCTTGTACAGTAGAGTAGGAACAATAGCAAAGAGAAAAAAGTAGGTTATGTGTTTTGAATGTAGCTATATCTCATTTTACTTTACAGGACAAGGTCGAGTTTATATTAGAAATGCTGATAAATCTTTAAAATTAGTTAAAGATCATTAACCGTTCCTAACATGTGAGTGAACAATTTCTTTTCTCTCTTTATTTTTGCATGCTTGCCATATTTATCTTGTTTCTGTATGTAGTTTCGAGTTTTTTTTTTGTTCTGCCGGTTCTTTCACATATATGCCAGTTATCACATATTTATCACATTCATCATCGCCATCCATTCATCCTATTAATC